CTTTTCCCTTTTCCTTCCCATTTTCTGGGGCAGGGGGGGGAAGGAAGGCGCAGGGGCCTACTGCCCCCCTGTCATGGGCATAGATTGATCTAGTATACATTAAATCACATAATTTATAACATTCTCATTGACTACTGTATTCATAATACTTTGTCCTTGTTCACATACATTGACCTTCTTCGGTATGGAATGGGAAGAGAGAAAATAATAGAAAATTGTTTGGGTGGAGTATTTTAGTTGCTAGTTTTTTGGGATTAAACTGTCAATGATCATTGTGTTTCAGCACTGCCATGCTAGATGCCTTCAATTTATTTTTTTTTCTTTTATAACAAGCAATCCTTCCAGTCCTTAAGCAACAGCCAGATACGATCAATAGAAACATGATCATACATATAAATAACCCCTTTCATTTACATGCTTTCATACAGAGCTTTATGGAAAATTTCTCAGAAATTAGCAATTGATTTTTGAAGAGCTGTTGAATCCATAGTAAATTTTATTTTATTTTTAAATGATAATTATCATCTAACACTGCAAATTTTTTGGTGCAATCTTATATGAGATGCAATAAGGAAGTAAATTTTGGCCCTCCTCGTCTGTGGGACCCTGTAATCAATGTTCTCCATTCTTTTAAAGCTGAAGTCTGAACAGATACAAGTGAAATTTGATTTCTGTATACTCACTTTCAAAGGTAACTTTTTCTGTAGAGTGTTTAAATTTGAATATTCTATGTAAAACTTTTAAAAACTAAATTCAAAATCTGTAAATGTATATATGATGAAAAATACCATCCTTCCAGGTTTATTTTCTATAAAATTTCTTAATAACTGGCATTTAAACTGTGAATTTGAATCAGTTTCAAGATAGATAACTGTTTTAGAAATCTGTTATTCTCTTCTTTGCTGATTTGCCAACTCTGATAACAAGTTCTTTGCTGTATCTTATTCTGTTATATTTGTCAGCTAGCAGGGTGATTGCTACTGAAGTGTCTATCTTTTAAAATGATGAGTACTTAAAAATCACATTATTTAGATATATGTTCAGATGCAATATATTCTAGAGGAGAAAACTTTTTTTTCCTCTCAGACTCAGAGATTGCTCACGACCCTGGTTAGATAATATGAAAACAGACACTAAAGGTCACTAGTCTGCAAAAGGTCAATCTGTTCAGAGATTTAGTAAAAGTACATTTAATTACTTTGTAGTTAAAGTGGTGCGGTGTTTTATTCATAATGAAGGTTAAATCTCTGTTATCTACTGAAGTGCATAAGGGGTACCCTGGTCTTCATCTGACTAGTTTAGGTATTTCTAATAGTTTAGTCATGAAAGCAAAGACAGAAATGACAGAAAATATTTACTTCTACCCCACACTTCACCACCAAATGTTGAAGTTATATCCATCTTTTAAACAGAAGAGCAGACAAGTTTCATTAGCATGTTAGATTAAATGTGTGCTATCTTGAATTAAGCTCTTAAAACAGTGGACCAGAAGACTACATTAACTGTATGTGCCAAATGCTAATTAAAGGATTTGTTAGAGGAAAATGTATCTCACAGGATTCAGTAGTCCACAGGAGGCAAGGCTGCTGCAGCTTAATGTCTGCAGGTTCAACAAGTAGCAAAGCTGAGGATGTGTTCCCAGCAGGCATGTGCACAGAGCACTGTATGCCACGTATAGACACAGCTAGACACACAGAGCAACTCTAAAACACATGGGACTAATGGACTTATCCTACTCCTCTCTCTTGCTGGACAGCATAGGAGATCGGTAGTGAGTAGGAGTGTGTACATGTGTAAATAATGCATCCATATATATTACACGTATATACACACATTCACTATAAAGATTCACTGTATTCAATCTGGAGAAGAGAAGGCTCCGTGGACACTTTATAACAACCTTTCAGTTTCAAAAGGGGCTATAATAAAGAAGGGGGTATACTTTTTTGCAAAGTCTTGTAGTAGAACAAGGAAAAATGGTTTCAAAATAAAAGACAGGAGCTTTAGGCTGGGTATATGAAAAAAAATTGTTACAGAAAGGCGTTAGAATAGGTTGCACAGAGAGGTGGTAGTTGACCTGATATTCAAGGTCAGGCTGGATGGGGCTCTGAGTAACTTGATCTAACTGTAGGCTGTTGCTGGGAAGCTGGACTAGATGGCTTTTAGAGGTGCCTTCCAACTCAAACAATTCTATGATGCTCTGATTCTATATACAATATACTGTAAATATATATACTATATATATATCCAACTTTATATATATATGTATTTAAATTTGGATTATATACATTTATATATTCTGGGATTATATGTATATATATATATATTTCTGCTTCTTCCTCCTTCCCTCAACCCCTTTTTCCACCTTTGTTCCTTCCCGTAAATATTCCATACAATCCCCAATTGCTTTTCTCCTGCATCCCATATTGTGTCCTAAATCCCATGACAGCAATCCTGCCTAGACTGAAAGGTGATCAGGATATCAGCTGCTGATGACTCATGGCCATTGGCTTCATTCCCAGACAACAGGGCAGATGGCTCTGCTGGAACAGCCCTGGGAGGGGCCCTGACAAAGTGGTTGTTCCTCAGGAGTCCTTGATTTGGATTCTCATCTGCCACTGCACATCCCTGTGCTTCACTGAGCCTAGACAGTGGCCCCTGTTATGAATCTGGGAATATTCTGGGAGAGTATTTGTTTTCCTCCTCCTTCCAGTTTGTCTGAGGTCCTTTGTAGGTATGCAGATTAGTTTTATCTGAAAAAATAACAGGGTGAATGAGCCACATGCTGACTTACAGGTTATTGCTTGATGAAGCAGTGCATTGCACTGTAAAGCTGAATTTCACAAGATGTTTCATGCTTCACTTTACAATAAAGGATTCTGCATTTGTCCAGAAGTAAATATGGGATACAGTACAATGCAGGATGGTAAACTTTCATGTGTATGATTCGATAGTGTGGGGTGGATTTTTAGCAACCCGAGTGTTGCTGGTTTAAGGCCTATTTGCCTTAAAAAAAGAAACCTTCAAATATTGTGAGACGTTACCAGTTTCAAGCTAAACCAACAAACAAAAAAAGTAACAGCAACATTTTTCAATTAACACACGCTCATGTTTTAAATAAAGGTCAAACAATTGTCTTATGAAGTATTTGTTTATATTCTTCCAGAGCAATAACTTAATAGTGGTTGCAAGCATAATGTTTAATGGCTATTGTTCAGAAATAAAGTGTCAGTTGAAGACCTTATAGAGGTTTAGGTGGAAAGTTGTTTTGCTTTCTCTTAGAAAGATCAGAAGAGTTTTCTTGTTTAAAAATCAAAGCACATTAGATATAGCTTAGCAGTTAATTATGCATTTTACCTTTAAGGCATGACAGAATACTATTAGATTTAGCAGACTGAATTCAGTGATGCATTGAAATATGAAATATCGCACAGTGTTCAGCATGCTATAGAAATATTGTCAACTGTTCATAAAAAATAATAGGCCTTTTTTTTTTTTTTTTTTTACAATTTTGCAACAAATTTTTAAATAAAGAAATAGCTAAATTCATGAATGAATTAGGAAGAGTTGAATGTAAATCCAACTTCCAAGAGCTGTTGGAGATTTATCAGGATTAAATCTGCAGATGCTGAAATGAAACATGAGTTCTCTGCTAGCATCTAGTGTAAATATTTTAAATCAAATGAAAGGGAAAGGATTTTATTTTTTTGAAATAAACCTCGGGAATGTCTTTATTTCTTTTTCTATAAACTAGGAATTTATACAAATGTCATACTTGGAATTGTCAGTGTTTCAGAGGGCTACTTGGCAGCAAAAATCAAAGAAAAAAATAGGCAAGCTTCAAGGAATAAAATTAAGACTCAATATACTTTTGGTCGACTGTTAAAATTACAGTTCCCACAAATTTGGGTGGGGTACTGCGAAGGTAAAAAGTGGCTGCCTTCCATATGAAGTTCCTTATTATTTATTTCTATGAAGCTCCTTACTCCTTTTTGACTTTTTTTTTTTTTTTTTTTAATATAAAAGAAACCTAGAAGTTGCAGCATATAAGTTTTAATATGTGAAAGTCATATAAAATACACTGTAAAATTAAATTTACCTTTTGATTTTTCTTCTTTGTTAACTTTATTCATCTTGTTACTTTGTAGGCAACTTTACTTATATCTCATAAATCATAAAGTAAGGTAAAGTGAAGAAAAGAAAAAATTTCAGCATCCTATCCAGTCCTCAAAATAAGTGCACTCAAAATAAGTGATCTAGAACAGGACACCTTTTAACACAGCACATCACATGAAAAATATCAGTGTACTCTTTCAGGCAGCATTCAGATTCTCCCTACCTCTCTACATTGCATACACAGCACATATAACAGCATTACCTGTATATGTTGGATTACACTTATAACCAACCACAGTTTCTTTGTATGCTCCTACTAATCACTGACTGTAGCACTCATCCTGTGTCCTAACAATAAATACCATGTTGTGAGAAATACATCCAGAGATTTACCTTGTGTTAAAATTGAGTCTTATTGTCAATAGCAGATCTGCTCACATGCCAAAAGTTAAGAATGTTCATAAGAGTTTGCAGGTTCTGGAGCTTTATTCTACTTTCATGCAAGTTACATAAAAATCAAAGAAAGCTATTTTTAATAATCGCAAAGAAATTGGCAGCACAGAATTAAGTGCTTGGTTGACTCTCCTAGACAGCAAAAATCATTCAGTAACTAATGCCAAATTTGACTTTGCTTTTGAGATTGATTGACAAACATAGGAACTGAGTTAATATTTTTACTTTTCAGTTCTTAATATTCAAGTTAAACTACCGATATTCTTTTGGCGTATGGGCACATGCAGTATAAAAGAAGATATTGCTAAGGAACTTGTTACAACATTCTTATTAAGGCTTCTAAAAATAACTTTTTTAGATTTAAGGATTCTCAGTTTCACTGGAAGACATTGCAGTATTCATTTGTAAAGGCAATTCTATTTTACTTTCAGATTCAAGGCCTCTGCCAGATGTAGCCCTGACAGGGAAGTGTACCCGAGAATGTGATGAATATGGCCACTCGGACTCCTGCTGGATGCCAGTTCGCACTTCTCCTGAAAGAAAGCAGAAGAGCCAGCCAAAACTCTCCACTTTCATGCCTGTTGATGAACGGGGCAGTCAGGAAAAGCTGGCCAATGGAGAAGCTTCCCTCATGGGTGATCGCAACAGAAACCTCCTTAACAAAAAGTTGACCTCATCCTATGAGACCTTCAGCGCCGCTAGTTTCAGCAAGAAAGAAGAAGGCAATCCAGAAGATATCCCCCTTACACAGACAGGGGAATATAAGCCATCTCCTGTCAATACTCTAACTAGAAGAGAAGTTTACCTGTAAGCTAAAAAGCAGCAACAAATTTCTTTTATGTTGTGAGCAAGAAAAGGGGCAAAAGTCTTAAAAGCAAAACAATTTTAATAAAAATATGAAACAAAAAGAGGAGGCCACCAAAGAGACATAAGCTCTGCTTGCCACTTCTGCCTCCATAGCAGGCATTTAACTATATGGTCTGCCTGACTATACTGTACAATGTAGAAAATGTTGTTACTTGCATGTCAAATCCCCCCTCACCAATTTTTATTTTCCTAAATCTATGGTTGCAAACTCCTCCCATAGTAATGAGCTTGATTAAAAAGGACACAACATGTTGTTTCTCCTCTGCAGAAGCATGAGTTAAGCCACTCATTTTTTCGATGGTCATCTGGCTTGTTGAGGATAACAGGTCAGGGAAAATGTATTCAAAGCATATCATCTAAATATTGCTGATCCCCACCAGGGACAATCCTTCAGAAACCGTACAGATATAAAGATAAATATAAAGGAATAATCATTAATAGGCACTTTGTGAAGACCACAGCTTTAATATTCTCACCTCTCAACTGACGCAGGATGCGACAGAGACACGTTCAGCTTGAGACTGCCGTCCAAAACATGGCAAACTTTCTTATGAATCATGAACTCTGGTTCTGTTTTATCCATAGAACAAATGTGTTCTAGCTGTGTCTCTTTCTCTCCTTCTCTCTCGTTCTCTGTAATGATTACTTCAATGTAAACACAATTAGTAACACATATACAGTAGCATAGTAATGATAAACTCTTGAAATCATTTTTTTTGGACAAGACTAACATTTAACTGGGAAGATAGTAATAACAAAAAGGCCAAAGATCACACTATGGATCAGGGGAACTGCTAAGTATTGGGGCTTGGCATAGAAAACTAATATACTCATGCACATGTACTCATAACACACCTTCAGTTACATTTGCACAGCAGCACGTTCTACAAGCCCAGATGACAATATTTTTTCCAATGCGGTTCAGTTGAATGCCTAAAGGAAATGATGTGGGTTTTTCTTTTTTTTGTGATATGTTGCAGCAGATGTTTCATATATGATACTGCCAATTCCAGGGAATTTCTGAAGTCAAAATTAAAAAATAGTAGTATTGCTAGAAGGCTGTGTTAGTGAGAATGCTTGGTAGGATGAAGGTGGGCAGTGTGGTGATACAATGACAAGAGAATATTACAACTCAAATATGAAGCCTTCCTTTCGGAGTACAAGGAGTGATTGCTGAGTCTTTTGTCATTGGTGTTGCAGATTGATTTGTATCAAACATGTAAGGTTTTCTTGAAACACTAGTGCATTAAAGCCAAGTGAAGTGCAATGCTAAACAGTGTCAAGACTCAGAACATTTAGGGTAGGTATTAAATAAACAGTGTGATATGATACTCACCTAGGGGGTCAAGATGAGTCAAAACGAATCCAAACTGTCTACAATATGCAAGAGCTCTGGGCTATAATGATTCTCACAATGAGTGCTTCAGGAAAGGAAGAGGAAATGAAACAGGTTTTTGTGCAATAAAAGCTACAAAATGTGCAGAACTTTAGCCAGTTTCTCTCTAGCTCATGCTGCAGTAATAATGACAAACAGCGCAGACATTCAGATGAAAGTGACAACTGAAGGACACAGCTGGAGAAGGGGAGAAGCGTTATAATCCCTGGCTGTTTCACCTGGCATTAAAGCATGGTTAGATGGCTCTCTAGATACTATAGTCATAATGTAGCTTTGGGTAGTTTTTTAAAAATAACCGTAAACAGCCTATAGTAGAGGTTGCTAAATCAATACAACTCATCACATTTATCTTTTGAATTCACTTGTCCATATAGTCGGTGATGCTGTTTCTGGCTGTTCCATTCTCTTCTCTTAAGTTTACTTTCTTCATGTAACATTAGTTTGTGTATAGCAGTAATGATGAATGGGCACATTTTAGAAAGAAAATCAAAGATTAATAATGATTGAACATTCTTATGTTTAATTATTTAAGTAATATGAAGACATGCAAACCAGTACTTCGTTATGAGACTGCATAGAGCAGTTACTGCTTTGTATAATCTGTAAGTATCTGTTTAAAAATGCTTCTAAAATGCTTATGTAATGTATACACATTTTTCTTGCACGTTTCAACAGAATACACAATTGCATAACAAATGCTGAACAGAATTTCTTTTGATAAATTTTTATTTAAAGTTACACACACAAAAGAAATAGGTAGGTTGGTTCAATATATTGTTAAACCCTTTGTCTACAATGCTAATAATACAGGTCATAGAAGACCTTCAGATTAAATGGATCAGCAGTCACTCACTGATTTTCGCACCACATTAAGACAGTCATTAAATACTTTACCTGTGAGCATCTCCTTAGAACTAAAATGGGTGTGAAAGAATTTTTTTAAATACTGTAAGTATTCACAACAATTCTAGTAGAACTAGCCACTATTAACATGCTGATTACTCTTCTGACCTGGCATGACACACAAATATACTTTGTGTTTGTATTTCTCTTTTTATTTTAAATATGTTAAATCTGGTACCACTCCATAAATAGAGTGCTTTTGTATAAAATAAATAAACTATAAAAAATAATTAGGGTGAATGCAAAATATGCAACTGTGCCTTTTATACCTGTTATTATGGTAGAGTGGTATTTGGGTTTGGACACTGAGGGATAAGGGGCTATTCCCAACCTTTTTGAACCTGTATATTTACCTGTTTATTTTCTGAGAAATTATAAATAATATATTTAAAAACAAGTCTTTTGCCAAACTCAGTTAATGGACCAGTCTTAAGCATTATTAACACAATGCTGTGGTTTCAGTATGTCTTGAAGGTTGTTTTGTTTGTTCATTTTTTGTTGTTGTTTTTCTAATTAATCTTTGTGGGGGGGTTGGGATTGTCTTCATTTGGTTTTTAATTCTGCAGCTTGGAGAACAACGATCAGTCTATACTATAGTTGTTTGGCAAGGTGTCACCAGTTCATGTTGCCAGGAAAACTGACAATTTTTTTTTTAATTGCTTTTAGCTGCCATCACATTTCAGTTGTACAGTATAGAAATCAACATTTTATTTCTTTCCATGGTAAACTCGAATGAGCTTTGCATGTGTTTTATGTTAGGGCGCCTTTATAGATTGATGCATTAATATATAACTTTATATGTATTAGAAAATTCAATAGCTTTGGTCTAAAATCTACTGCTCATTTTGGATCTCAGATCCAGTATGTTTATTCAATATGATTTCTGACTGGCCTGCTGCCTGAGTTTCAGGAAAAAAAAGGTAAACATTATTTTTATGTGGGGGAAGAATTTAAATGGGATTCAGATGATTGACTGAAAGGCTACCCTAGGAAGTTGTCAAGTAGGAAAGCAAAGAGTAGAGTTGAAGACCTGCCATAAGCACAGCTATCACCAAAAGCTTGTAAGAACTTAAACAATGAAATATTTTTCCTTTTCTTTCATTGGTGATAAATGTACAGTGTTTCCTTAAGGAATGAAGCAGATGAAATAGCAATAGAAATGAAATTCCATCAGTTAAGTATTATTGACTGAAAAGCAAGAAAGAAGACAATATGTACCAGCTACCTGGGGTATGCTTTCAGACAACTTCTTCCTAAATTTTAAAGCACTTGCATTCAGTGTGGTACGATCTGTTTGTAATATTAATCATTGACTATTGTTCTGCAACTTGGATGTTGATAGTGAAGCAGAGAACAATTTATCATTGTTTATTATGAATCACTATGCACGCAACTATGCTAAACATGGCAAAATGTATTAAACGCTAGTCCACCTCTATTTATGAAATATTTACATAATTTAATTTGTTTTTGTACAGTTTTATGTAAATAAATTGCTTGTCATTTTTGTCTCTGCAAATTAAAATATAACATGATCAACTGGTTGCCCATTTGCCACTGTACTTTCTGTGACAGACTCTTCCATTTTTACTGGATTGAAACACTGGATTGAAATATGCAAGCTTGCATATTTAACCTATATCTTGCCTGGCAAGGATGAAGACACTCTTGTAACTGGCCACTTCTTTAGCAGCTGATGTATCTGAATTTACAGAGTGAAACTCAGTAGAGACTATTCACACTAAGCACTGCATACAGCTACTTTCAGAAATAAGGTACTTGTAATGACTGCAGTTGCTTCCCATTACTACTCAGAATAGCTTCTTCTTGAGTCATGGTGAAAGCATTAATATGGAGAATAGTAACGTTTGAGTAAAAACTCAGCTATTTCCATTATGGAATAACAATTTTCCAGTGATCAGAGAGGTTGTTATTTTTTTCCCTTAGAAGTTTAGAACTCTTAATTCCTAAAGTGTCAGTGAAGCATCTATAATGAAAAGAGCAAAATAATTAACACTGTTTAAAAGCAAAATGGGAAATGAAAAACTACAGATCTTTTTAGATGTGAGTCAAATCATCCATCTCAGCATAACAACAGACTGAGAACAAACTATCCTCAAGAAGGAACATCTGAGAAGCGGAGTTTATCTCTTCGCTTTCTGCTTGTGAAGAGCAGACACTGCTTTCTTTGTTTAACATAAAGCAGGTTCCAAAAAAGCCATTTAGTTGGAATTTGCATCAGTTGTGATATGTGCAAAATATCCTGGGAGGGGAGGAAAGAAAAATTAAAACTTTTGTTCCCCTTATTGGTGCAACTGTTTTGTACTAAATACGGTACTGTTATAGAGACTTTGCAAATTATTGTATAGAATTCCCCACTAACAAACACAAAATGCTGTTTCTAGCTATTTACATTAGTTGCAGATTAGGCTTTGGTTTGTTGCAAATAAACATGGTCTGGCAGGACATCTTTTTTACTTCTATTTTTTTTTTCCTTTTAAATAAGCTTGACATTGCAAATTTTTTTCTCTGACTATGCTTTCAGTTAACATTGTCTGGTCTTCTGTAATGAATGTGTCAAGAAAGATTCCTCTTCCCATAAGCAGAAATCTAAATCTGCATGCTCATGGAGAGAACTTAACCCACCAACTGACCCCAAATCTTCCACGTCAGACTTGAATGAGACACCCCTCAACCTCTTTCAGCAGTAGCAGTATTTTAATGAGTAACTTCAATCAAGCTTTCATGTTTATTTTATACTAGATATAGTATGCAAGGCATGACCTTATGTTTGTTTATTTTGTCTTTTATCTTCATTCTTCTAGTTTACCAACTGCATTTAGGAACGTGATTACAAGGAAGATAAAATAAATTTCCTGAACTGCAGAATGGTAAGAGAGGATGATATAAACTGGTGAAAGCTAACAATTTTTGCTCCCCTTTAACCCTGGCTCCATTTCTCCCTCTTGCACTGCAGTAAAAGGTAAATCTTATGCAGAGATTGAAATTAATAAATGCGACCTAGGCAGAAATAATTTCATGTCTTTATTAAGCCTCCCAAGGGGAGTGTATAGAAGATGGTTAATAGTTCATAAATGTGCAAATCATCTAATCTATGCCAAAGAAGAAAGCAACACCAGAGTTAGAGAGAGAAGTATATTTAGCATATTAGTCATATAATAGGATTCTAGTCAGTCAGTTCATACCACTGTTTCTTCTGAAGCAAGTATGGATGGTTTAAAAACTTAAATATATTTACCAAGAAACTATGAAAATAAATAAATAAGTGAAACGTAAAATATGCATTCTGCAGTGGCATGGGGTATCCTCTGGGAGAAAGAAGAAAGAACAGCAAATAAGTACAGTTTAATTGGCACAGAAACGTTAGAAATAGATCCCTTTAGACTTTCAAACTTAAAGATCCTAGAATAAGGAGATATTAATGCATAATTTGTAGCTATCTACAGTATGATATTGTTAATTTCCAAGAAAGTATGGCTAATTATAAGGCAAATGATTCTATTTAAGGCGGTGTTTTAAAAGGTTTAATTTTTTGGTCAAAATATTTGTATCTTATTATTTCTCTGCAAGCTTATTAAAGCAAAATTCAGCAGACTTCTAATGCATTCTCTGTAGGGCAAGCCAGAGTTGAAAAGACCAATGTATATTTTTCGTAAAATTTTATTTCAGAATACCTTCTATTTTCAGGAATGTGACCAACTTCTTCACATTTATGCTGTAATCATGGTTCTGAAAAATAAAATAAAAAATCTGGACATCTGAACTATCACTGCTTTCCAGAACATAGCAGAAGGAACAAAGTAATGCCAGAACAGGGTCAGTAGACCATTTTGCAACTTTTCTCGCCTTTGGTAAATCCTAAATTCAGCAATTCAGCAAATTGTGAAGTGCATCATGAGGAAAGCAATGTAACAGAATGAATCACTGTCTTTTTCCCCTAACCCTATAGAGAATTAGAGAAGGAAAACAGTAACTGAGCAAGAGGAAAAGAAAAAAGTACTCTCTATTGCCTACTTCTTGTGGATTTCCAGCACCTATAAAAAATTCCATTACTGGAATCTGTAGTACTAGAGTCCATCTTCTCCCCATATAAGTGTACATCTTCACATCTTCCAAAAAAACTTGCAAGTTCTTCTATGGTTGTGGTAGTCTGCTCTTATTTGAATATATAGTCAATGCAAATAGAAATAAACAAATAAGAATTCTGAGATGAGAAGGATCCTATTGTTCTGAAGAGATCCACAAACTTTTGAACACAGAGTAATAATTTCAGTCTGAATAAAATCGTTGAAATAAAAAATTTAGAAACTAAACAGAGAAAGGAAGATTAAAAAAAAAAAACAACAACTTAGGGTGATGGAAACCTAGTATCAGCTAAGTGTATGTTCACATAGATTTACCTAAGAACCCTCTCTCTTCTGGCTTTTGAAGCAGATTTGAAGATCCTCTTCAATATTCCAGAGAAGTTTCCACTTCTGTCATTATCCAGTGTCAGAGAGAGAATAGGTATGAGGACCTATATCTATTCAAAGGTAAGATAAAACAAAGCATGTAAGTTAATGCCTATTTTAACATAGCAGGGTACAATGACTACACGCAGAACACTAGGTAATTACCAAAGTTCAGTTTCTCTCTAGTTTTCTATTTCATGTAAATTGCTAAAACAGAAGTCAAAATTCTCCTTTCGCTTTTTTTTATTATTATTATTTTTTTATTTTTAGTATTAGTTCATCTCTTCTTGTTGACAGTTGCTGGAATCATCTTGGCACCTACTTGGCTTTTCCTTACCTTGTTCATACTCCTTTTCAGTCTGACCTCTGACCCTCTGGCAGGCCTCATGTTGCCATCTTTATCATTAAAAGTATTAAAGCATGGCAGACCCCCTCACTCACAAATCTAAACATGAGTTTAAATATTTGAAATGTTTATACAGGTAGTAGAACAAGGAGTGTGCCTGGAATTTAGAATGATATAATGTTATGCTGATTAATAATACTGATCTTAAGTTCCGGGGAGAGCTAAAATACAGCTGTGTGTGGTAAAGAACAAACCACACGCTGGGTACAACCCTGGAATAACAAGAAGTGCATTTCTTCTTGCTCTAATTTGTACTTTTTGTAGAAATGAAAGGAAAATATACAAGTGCTCCAGGTCACTTTGAAGTACAGTTACCCTCATTTCATTAATACAAGAAAGAAAGAACCATCTTTTACCCAGCCCATGTTAAGCTTGTACTTTGGATGTTAAGCTTGTACACATTGGATGTCCTGACCGAACATTCTCATTGTTTCTGTACCATCACTACAGCAGTGGTGACTAATTAATGATATATCTCGAGTGACATGCTAAGTAAGAGCAGCATAAATCTGACCAAGAGAAACGATGATGCAAAAGTACTATCTACAGAACAAGACATTAAAATTACATTGCTCTGAAAATAATGCCTCCTATTTAATTCCATGGAAATTACAACAGACGCAAAGAGCACGATTTTTCTACATAGTTCACCGCCATTAACTGATCTGTGCAGATGAGCTGATCAAGATTCCTCATTTCCTCCTATGACATGCCATCCAGCTATGCATGGCCATCGAGAATGTCGCTTATCTTTCTCAGCACTGCTGCCACTGCTGAACACAACACACATTGCCTCACTGTGCTCACATCCACTGTTCTATTTTCATAAACACTCAGCAAGTATCTCACCTTTGCTTCATAGGAACTTCCATATTAGATGCCATTTTATCAGACCGTCTTTCTGCTGCACCTGTCACACAGCAACAAAATATAATGGAATATTGGTGGGAAGTTTTAACCTCTACTGCCATAACATCAACATCCACCTCTGATGTCGTTGGCCAAGATAATAAAAATAGGAGGCAATACTTTTGGAGCAGCTCCCAGATAACTCCTAAGGTGCTACCGTGTATCTAGGTGACACATTATTATACATTCATGTAAAGTTAAATAACTACTTTTCAGTTCCAAAGACAGCTACTCTAGTCAAAATAAGCTTTCAGAAAGAAATAAAGAGAGGTGACAGTTTTGTTAGTCATGGACTGAGAAGGTCACATTTAAGAGCTGCAGAATAATTTTGTTCTATTGAGTGACTGCAGATGAAATAAATTTAGCAACACTCAGAAATAATACATCTTGTCTTTCCTTATTCAGTGATGGGATCTGAAGCTTCCAAAAGTTTACTGCTCAACAGCACTCAGAAACCAACAAATGCATAAAATTGAGGAAATATTATCAAACAGAACAGATTATGTTTCCTATATCAAGATAACCATAAATACTTTTCACAGTTTTAACCCCCACTTCTCAGGATAAAATATATATATATAAATGCTGGAAAACATGTAGAGTGATTACATTTATAGAATATATAAATAAGATAGGACTTT